TACTTACAATTTCATTTATGTGACATTCACAACTGCCACAAATAATTTAACCTGAGGGAGGCAAGGGAGTGTCCTAACTTCGAGTGCAAAGGGGCACAAAGGCACTTCCTTGGGTGATGGAAATGATTTACAACATGATCAGGATAACTGTCAAAATTGATGACACAAGTACAGAGTTAACAGGAGAGGGCTTGTGAGCCAGCAGGATGAGACAGGCAAAGAGTTAACAGGAGCGAACTTGTGAGCTATAAGGAATGAGCTTAAACCTTTACCGCTTAGCTCTGAACCCCCCGGCTAACACTGCACCTGCAAGCTGACAAGCACCTTACATTCATCATCGGTGAGAACAGAACGGTTCCCAATCGCAACGGCAGCCCCCCTGCAAGCTGACAAGCACACTACACCCTGCTTAGAAAAATATAAAACCCCAGCACTCCTTCTCATCGGTACAGCTGTCTATTCTTCCCTCTGCCCCTGGCATCTCCTCTGCCGGTGTTTCTGACTTCTACCCATCGCGGCAGCTGTCTCTATCAGACTCTGCCCTGGCAAACTCCTTTGGCCAGTATTTCTCCTCCAAGCAGAAACCTGTGGCAGCTGTCTTCTGTAGACACTGCCACTGGTGGCTCTCTCTCTCGGCTCGACTTTCAATAAACCTTTTTTTGCTTTCCTACTTTTCAAAGTCTCGTGAATTCTTTTACTTTCTGACAACCAGGGGTAATTATAATCCAATACAAAGATCATTTAAATGGACACTTAAAGTGGGTGCATTTTATCATACTTAATAGCTCCATAAAGGTTTTTAAACTAACAAGACTTTTAACTACAGAAAATATTTAGATGTTACTAAAAGTTTTGTGATTCAGTTTTTCAATCATTCTAGCAAAACGGTGTTATTTCTTCCCAAGTCTGAGTATGTATGGTGTTGCAATCTCAGCTCACAGCCGGGTAAAACTGCCCCTTGGGCTTGTGCGCACACACCCAGGGCCATACCTGAATTTCGGCAGTAATGGCTGCATTCAAGGCCGACTCTAAGCCTCCATCAGCCATCAGGCTGCCTACCAGAAGATCAACCATGAATCGACGACCAGGGCTTATGTTGACTTCATTGCCTGAAACTAGAAAAAGGAAAAGTGTTCTTACCAATGCGAGGGAAGCGCCAGCCCCTCCTGGGGCATTCCTGCCCCTGCCCCACCCCCGCCGGGCTCCCCTGAACAGGGCAGAACAGAGCCCCAGGCTGGCCCCGCCCCCTGCCGGCTCACCTGCGCAGGGCAGGAGAGCAGACAACGCACGGGCCCGCTCCTCTGCGGTGGGAAGCAGCACGGACCACCCACTCTGCAGCACGGCCTGGGCAGCCATCTGCACAGTACCCAGCACGCCCGCACTGCTGGCCAGGGCCACAACCGTCTGCTTCAGACTGTTGAGGAGGACGCTGCCCAGACCTAAACCAAGGAACTCTGGGTCAACCTGGTGACTAATGGCAGCATGCAACTGAAAGGACAAAAACAATTTTCACTTAGAAGCCCTAAAAACGGTGGATTTCAAATCTTATCAAAGATTACATAATACCTCAAGTTGAGTTTTATTCAAATAATAAAGGACATGATGGATCACACAGAAATCCTTGTATCATAAAGGTGAAAATGACTTTGTCAAGAAAAACTGTTCTCTTGACATTAAGTCATAGGATTTTATTACAAAGAAAAATATGACCAAAGAGTTCAGCTGTACTTTTACTTAAAAAATAACAAAGAAAAAGGAAAAGAAATATTGTGGGAGCGTTTCTTACATTGACCGTTTTTACACTTAAAGGCAGCACACCGGAGGGAGCCACACTGACTGGGTGGCTCTCACAGCCCGGGGAGGAGACTGGCCAGCGCACCCAGCGGTGCTGCCACCACCCACTGTGTCACCCAGTCGCTCTCCAGTCACAAAAACAGTACATTCAAGATCGGGGCTTTGATGAATGCTAGCACGCTGATTCTGGCAGAAATGACACAACCCAACATACTCTCACCTGATACAGAGATTGATTTCCAGGATAAACAAAGATAACCAAGCTGAATTTTTAAGCCCCATACACATTACATACAGTCCATCATAATCTTACTTTAAAACACCTTAAGATTTTCATCAGCAGTTTATTTAACTGGCTAAAACCTACACCCTTCAAAATCATAACTATGATAACAAACACATGAGACACCTATAAGAGGCGGGGAGAGAAGTCATTAACACCTGAAGTCGAAGAAGACTCAGCGTTGCCACGGCCACGCACTCTTTCTCTTGGGGTGGGGGCCAGTCAGCGGTGCCATCCATCCCCTCACTCACTTGACGCAGGAGGAGGTCCAGCTGCTCAAAAGTCATTGAGCAGATGTCCACCACAAATGGGACCCGGAGGCCAATGGACCACTCAGAACAAGATGACCAGGCAAAACTCTGGAAGAAACACAAGAACCAAAAATGAATGTATACGTTCAGCTATTAGTCTGTTCCATCATCACGATGAGAGTCACCATTCTGAATGATGAAAATGCCTTCAATTATTACTTATTCATCCCTCTGTCACAAATGCACGTGTACTTTCATGGTTGTCTAGCTCACATGCTATCGCTTTCCCATTTTCTCTCATTTCACTACCCTATCTCCTTTTGCCACAAATAAAAAGGTAACATGTTTTTAAGAAACCTTTTCACTCTCAAAATTATTAATGCATATCAGCGAATCCACTTGAGAGTTACAAAAAGGGGGCCGGCCAAGCAGCTCAGTTGGTTAAGAGCTCGCTCAAGAGTGCAAGCGCTGCGCAACTAGCAGTTCGATTCCTGGCCAGAGCTGAGCTGCCGCTGAGCTGCCAATAGGTGGCAGGATGGCTCAGCTTAAAAAAAAAAAAGAGTTACAAAAGGAACTCTAAGAAGACAGAGCAAGTTCAGGTGCGTGTACTGCAATCGTTAGCGCTACCATAAAAAACACCACAGAGACAGACAACTCAGTAAGTTAAAACAGAATACTGAAAATTATTCAAATAACCCAAAAGAAGTCAGGCAGGAAAAGGTAAAGGAAAAAAAAGGGAGTAAACAAGAAACCAATAATGGTACATATAAATCCAACTTATAAATAATTGCATTAAATTTAAAATAGGGTTGGCCAGGATATGGAGAAATTAAAGCCCTGTGCAGATCTGGCAACAATGTACAAATCACAGCTGCTGCAGAAAACAATATGGCAGCTCCTCAAAGGTCTAAATATAATTCCCACAAGAGCCAGCAATTCTGCTATAAACATACTTTTGACACTGAAAGCAGATACTCCATTATCTGTACACTAATGTTCATAACAGCATTATTCACAATAGCCAAAAGTTACAAACAGCCGATGTGCCCACTGACGGAGGAATGGAGAAACACAATGTGGGATATACATACAATGAAATATTAATAAGCCTTTAAAAGGAATAAAATTCTGGTACACAGTAAAACACGGATCAATCTTGAAAATGTTATGCTAAGCGAAATGAGCCAGACACAAAAGGTCAAATATTACATGGCTCCACTTATATGAGGTATCTCCAACAGGCAAATTCATAGAGACAAAGATCTGAGGTTATCAGGGGCTGGAGGGAGGAAAAATGCAGTTATTGTTTAAATGGCTAGAGTTTCTATTGGAATCATGGAAAAGTTCTGATTACACAACATTGTGAATATACTTAAGCCACTGTATATTTTATCATAATTTTTTTAATGATCCAAAACATTAACATTAAAAAATTGATTTGAGCTGAAAATAGAAATGGACAAATCCACATTTATAATTGAACACTGCCCTCCTAGGGCAGGACAAGAAGAAAAATAGCAAAAACAGAACTAAACAATGCCATCATGAACTGGCCCTAAATGACATTTATAGAACACTTTACCCAACATCAGCAAAATACACAACACCAAAACATATCCTCTTTTAAAAGACACACACAGAACATTCACTCAGAGAACACATCCTGAGACAGAAAACAAATCCAGAAGAACTGAAACAGTATAGTCTGTTCTCTAACCATAATGGAATTAAACTAGAAATCAATAACAGATAACAGAACAGTCTCCAAACACTTCGAAGTTAACACACTTAATAATCGATAGGTCAAAGAGTTTTCAAGAGAAACCAGAAATATTTCCAACTGACCAAAAATGAAAATATATCAAAATATGTGCGTGCAATTAAAGCACTGATTAGACAAATTTATAGCATCAAGTGCTTATTATATTACAAATGAAAAGGTCTGAAATCAACAACCTAAGCTTCCTCCTCAATAAAGTAAAAAATGAGCGAAGTGAACCCAAACCAAGCTGAAGGGGGGAAAAAAGGGAGCAAAAACCAATGAAATTGAAAGCAAAAAACAAAGGGAAATTAATGAAACTTAAAAGCTAGTTCTTTGAAAAGATCAACAAAATGGATAAACCCCTAGCAAAACTGATGAATGAGAAATGGAAGGAACACTTTTTATGAAGCCAGTTTTACCCTGATAAAAAGTCAGACAAAACAGCATAAGAAAACCACAAGCATTGATGAAAGAAATTCTCATCAATGTATCAGCAAATCAAACCCAGCTATTGTATATTTACAAAAATAATAATACACCACAACCAAGTGGGAATGCGAGGTTTGCTCAGTACTTGGAAACCAATCAATGTATTCCATCACATAAACAGACTAAAGAAGAAAAAGTACATAATCAGATCATCTGAGAAGAAAAATCACTTGACAAAATTCAACATCTATTCAGGATAAACAGAAAACTTGGACACATTAGGAGGTAAAGGAAATGTCCGTAATCTGATAACAAGGAATCTACCAAAAATTCCACTGCTAACATCGTGGTTAGTGCTGAAAGTTGAATGCCTCCCCTACAGTCAGGCATCCGGCCAGGAGGTACCCTCTCACCACTCCTACTCCACACCATATAGGAAGCCCCGGCCAGTGCAACAGGCAAGGAAAAGAAATAAAAGGCATACATATTGGAACAAAAGAAATAAAACTGTCTCTACCCCAAGGAATAGACAGTGAAGCTCCTAGAACCAATAGATGAGTTTAGAACAGCCACAGGACATAAGGACAACACATACCAGTCAGTGGTATTTCTACATACTAGCAATAAATGATGGGAAATCAAAATTTTACAAGACACCAAACCAAGCTATATAGGCAGTACCTGGGCAGGTCCGCAGGCAATCCCAACTATGTGTTTGGTATCCAGCCCTGGCAACGCAGCAGGCTCGGGCTTGGTCACATGCAAGGTGTCGAAGTGCTGGCACTGGTCGTTGCTCCCCCAGCTGTGGACCTCGCTGTCCTCAGTCAGAGCCAGGCAGTGGGTGGAGCCTGCAGCCACATCAATCACCTTCTTGCCTAGGAGGAAAGAGCAGTGCAGATACAGCTCCACGCCTCTGACTTCTGTTGCAATATTTATACCAGGCCACTCAGGTCAGAGGCACTTACTTAATGGCAACTTCTAAAGGATGATTCATTGCTTTAATATACACAATTCATCAACTATTTTATTAAAACCCGCTATGTTTTATTAAGATCTACAGCTAGACTAGGTCTAGCTGTAGAATAACAGCTGTAGAACAACGCTAGAGTTTGAAAAGAATCTTATTTTTTCCCTCCTTATTCAGATTTTCATCATCAGAAACAGACAAGTGTATTTTTAATTAACTATTAGATCATATTCTCCTGTCCCAAGGTATAACCATGCAAAGTATTCTCTTTTTTTTAATAAGACTGTTTTTAGAGCACTTTTAGGTTCACAGCAAAACTGAGAAGGCACAGGTTTCCCAAATGCTCCCTGCACCAACACACCCCCATTATCAGTCATTCATTTTTTTTAGCGTGGGGATGTCCAGTTGTTCCAACACCCTTTGTTGGAAAGACTATCTTTTCTCCATTGCCTTTGCTCTTTTGTCAAAGATCAGATGACTATATTTATGTGGTTCTATTTCTTGAGCTCTCCTCTATTCTCTTCCTACGATCTGCACTTCAGCCAATACCATACACTCTTGATTACTGCAGCTTTCTAGTAAGTCCTGAAGTTGAGTAGTGACAGTCGGTCCAACTTGTTCATTTCCTTCAATACTGTGTTGATGATTCTGGACCTTTTGCCCCTCCATGTAAACTTTAGAATCAGTTTGTCAATATCCATAGAATAACTTGCTGGGATTTTGACTGGGATTATACTGAATCTACAGATCAAGTTGGGAAGAGCTGTTTTGGAAGGTTATTAATTATTGATTCAATACCTTCAATAGACACAGGCCTATTCGGTTCGCCTATTTCTTCTTGAGTGAGTCTTGGCAAATTATGTCTTTTAAAGAATTGATCCATTTCATCTAGACTACCAAGCTTGGAGGCACACAGTTGTTCATAATATTCCTTTATCATCCTTTTGATGTTCGTGAGATCTGTAGTGATGGTCCCCTTTCATTTCTGATATTGTAAATCTGTGTCCCTTCTCATTTTTTCTTAGCCTGGGTAGCAGTTTATTGATTTTATTGATCTTTTCAAAGAATGAGCTTTTGGTTTCATTGATTTTCATTGGTTTCTGGTTTCCAATTTCATTGATTTCTGCTCTAATTCTTATTTCTTTCCTTCTTACTCTGGATTCATTTGCTATTCTTTTCTAGTTTTCTAAGGTGGAAACTTAGTAATTATTTTAGTTTTTACATTCATCACCACACATAATTACAAATGTTTCTTCTTGGGCTGGCAGAGTGGTTCAGTTGGTTAAGAGCCTGAACTCTGAACAACAGGGTTGCCAGTTCGATTCCCACATGATCCAGTGAGCTGTGCCTGAGCTGAGCTGCTGCTGAGCTGCCAACAGGTGGCAGGATGGCTCAGCTGGTGAGAGCACATGCTCCTAATGACAAGGTTGCTGGTTTGACTCCCACATGGAATGGTGGGCTGCGCTGCCTCTGCCTCCGCAGCCAAGATTGAACACGGCACCTTGAGCTGAGCGGCAGCGAGCTGCCGATGGGCAGCAGGATGGTGACTGGACTTGGAGCTGAGCTAGCTGTGCCCTCCACAACTAAGACTGAAGGACAACTTGGCTGTTCCCCTTCCCCAAGTCCCCAAATCTGTTCCCCTTCCCCAATTCCCCAATAAAATCTTAAAAAAAAAACCAAATGTTTCTTCTTGTGATGACAGCTTTTAAGACATATTATCTTAGCAACTTTCAAATATACAATACAACATAGTTAACAAATTAACTATAGTTACCATGCTGTACATTGCACCCCCAAGACTGATTTATTTCATAACTGGAAGTTTGTACCTTCTGACCACATTCACCCATTTTGCCCACCCACCAACCACCGCCTCTAGCAACCACCAATCTGTTCTCTGTATCTATGAGTTCAATTTTGTGTGTGTGTGTGTGTGTGTGTATTCCAGATGTAAGTGAGATCATACAGTGTTTGTCTTTCTCTGACTTATTTCACTCAACACAACACTCACAAGGTCAATCAATCTATGGTGTCAAAATAACAGGATTTCCTTCTTTTTATGTCTGAATAATCTTCCATTGTGTATATGTACATCTTCTGTCTCCATTCATCCAGTGATGGACATTTAGGTTGCTTCCATGTCTTGGCTGTTGTGAGTAATGCTGCAGTGGACATGGGGTTCAGGGACCTTTTCAAATTAGTGTTTTCATTTCCTTCAGATAAATATCCGGAAGTGGAATTGCTGGGTCATATGGTGGTTCTATTTTTAATGTTTTGGGGAACCTCCATACTGTTTTCCATAGTGGCTGCACCATTTTGCAATCCCACCAACAGTGCATAAGGGCTCCCTTTTCTCCATATCCTCTCCGGCACTTGTATTTCTTGTCCTGTTGATGACAGCCATTCTGACAGGTGTGAGGTTATGTCTCGTGGTTTTGACTGGCATTTCCCAGATAATTTGTGGTGTTGAGCACCTTCTCATGTACCTGTTGGCCATCTCTAAGTCTTCTTTGGGAAAATGTCTTCTGCAAGTTTTTTAATTAGATTGCTTGGGTTTTTTGCTACTAAGTTGTATAAGTTCTTTATACATTTTAAATATTAACCCCTCATCAGATATATTATTTACAACATTTTCTCTGATTCAGTACATTGCCTTTTCATTTTGTTGACTACTTCTTTTTTTTATGTGTAATATATTTATTGAAGGATTTAAAACCAATCAGAGTATAAACAGGAAATGGCTCTATTCTTCTTTTCTAATCACTGCTTTTAACTGTGTTTTGTCAACTCCTCATTTCCCCGTTGGATACTGGGGTCCTTTAAGATCAGGACCAAATTCTAGAATCCACAGCTCAGTGATTAAAATGCTCTCACATTTGGTATTCAGGACAACTGTTGATGATTTCCTTCGTTGTGCAGAAAGACTACTGATTTCAAATCTTTCTCCTTTTCTAATACATGCATTCGGTATTATAAACTTCCTTCTAAGCACTGCTTTCACTGCATCCCACAAATTCTGATAAGTTGCGTTTTCATTTTCATGTAATTCAAAATACTTTAATATTTCTCTTGAGATTTCTTCTTTGATCCATGTGTTATTTGGAAGTTCGCTGTTTAATCAGCATGTCTTTTAGTATTTTACAGCTATCTTTCTGCTACTGATTTCCAGTTTGAATCCATTGTGGCCTCAGAGTAGACGCTGTTTGCTTTTCGTCTTTTAAATGTGTTAAGGGATGTTTTCTGGCCCAGACCGTGGTCTACATTGGCGAGGGTCAAAGTATTCTCTGCATGGAGAAAGTTTTCTAAAATGAAACCTATTTTTCTACATAATTAAATGATATAAATATAAAGTACATTTTTTTTTCTATTTAAATAATGCTATCAAAGTGTCGTATTTTTGCTTATTAGGAAATCTAAGATGACCAACACAAGGGGTGTTTTCAGAAATGTCAACATATAAAAAACAATTCAGCTGAGGACCAGCCGAGTGACGCGTTGGTTAAGAGCTGGCTTGGGACGCCAGAAGGCCCCGGTTCTGATCCCACATATGAGGGCCAGTGACACTGCCCTCTACAGCTAAGATGCTGAACAACAGCTCAACCTGGAGCTGGGCTGCCATGAGTTGCCAGCAACTGCGTAGGCTGCAGTCCCTGCTGCAGTGGGTTGCCATGGGCTACCGTGTGTAGCCAGCAGCGAGCGTGAGCAGCCAGCAGCCGCCATGAGCGGCCGTCCAGAAGCCGGCGACTGATCTGCCTCGCCCGGGAAGAGCGCAATGATGGTGCCAACTTGGGCCAGTGAAGCAACGTCCTCCACAACTAGACTGAAGAACAACAACAAAAAAAAGGATAGCAACTTGTCTGTTCCCCTTTCCCCAATTCCCCAATAAAAATCTTAAAAAAAAAAAAAAAATCACCTGAAAAATTCTACTGTAGTAAAGGAAACGATTTTTTCGTAAGAGCCTATCATGAGTTATCAACAATAACCAAAGCCATTGTATTAACAATCATTTAAATACTCTCATAGCAAGCTATCTCTATATCTAGTAAATGTAGCTGAAGAAGTGGATTTTTTAATAAATGAAGGAAATAAAAACAAGAAGGCAAATGAAATTTGCTATAACATACTAACAATTGTATTACTCTACAACTTATCTCAGAAGTTTAGAAAATAATAAACACCACATGAGCACACAAAACTTCTAGTCATCAAGGTCTTAAAATGTTCTAAAATACAAATGATGGGGAAAGGAGCTGGCACATTCCACTTAAAAGTCTTACTTCTGAACTTTCTGGACAGAAAAGCAAAAACAAAGAATCCAGCTCAGGAATACAGCAAACTTCACCCTCATGCCCAATACAAGGCCTGTTTAGTGAATGAAGTTCTGAACATAGCCAGGCCCGTGTGTCTACACTCTGCCTATGACATTTTGGGGCTGCAACAGCAGAACTGGGTACTTGGGACAGACAGCAGGTGGCCCTCAAATTGAAAATACTTAAGTCTGGCCCTTTAAGAAAAAGTCTGCCCATCCTGAGATCCAGCCCTCCAGGGTAACCAATCTCCCACCCTTTGGGAGGCACCTGCAAGGAACACCTACGTGCCGTGGCCCCATTTGTCCCCTCTACTAGAGTGCGTATGGGGTGCTCTCAAACTGAACAAGCAGAATTCACTCACCAAGGATGGGTTCAAATGAGACCACTGCCAACAGAGCCAGCCCACCCCATACTTTGCTCCCCCAGCACCGTGCAGTGTTGGCACTCTTCAGTGTCCACTGGGTAACTATAGGCGACCTCACCAAACAGGCAACCTCACGGTGGCCGGCTCACAGTGATGAATGCATGGGTGCCAGCCACAGAAAGAACTCTCCAGTATTGGTAAAACTGAATGCGTTTCCAATTAAATGTGGTAATTCTAGGCCATTTCGTAATATACACAAACCACTTTCCATGTGTTACCTATACCTATCAAAATGTGGGGAAAAGCTTCTAATGCCAGGTCACTCGTGGAATGTCAGGTGAAGAAAACAGAAAATTGCAAAGATTATGAGGAAGCAGCACCACAGGGTCTGAAAAGCACGTCCACACTCACCTTGAAGGCCCTCCAGGAGTTTGGGGTAACGGACGTGCTCCTCTGTCCCATGCCCAAGTCTCTGGTTGTCACCTTTCCCCCATGAATACACTTGGCCATCTTTTGTCAAAGCCACAGAAAACTGACTTCCACATCGAACTTTGATGACATCCAAGTCCTGAAGCTTTTCAATCAGCTTTGGCGTTTTGCAGCCATCACTACCACCTCTGCCCAATTTCCCATAGTCGCCATCTCCCCAAGACCACACTTGACCTAAAAAATACAAATGCATTTAAGTAAAAATAACTACATCTTAATGGAATTTTTAAATAGCTGAAATTAATCAATGTAACCGATAACATGCAAATCTAGATCAAATGTATATAGTTAACACACACAGGTGGTTACCGACCAAATGAAATCTAATTTATACTTCAGGTCGATACAGAAGCAATTAACAAGTGGAAAGCTTGGGTTTTCTTCCTGTTTTAACTGAGCAAATAATAAAGTCCTGACATTACTGGTTTGAGCTCAAGGACCGTGCTTCAACTAAGTACTAGACACAGAACCAACGCTGCCCTGCCTCCAGAGCTCCATACTAGGCTGGGCACAGCAAATGGCCACTCGGCCTGCACACTCTGCTCCCAGCATGCTGACTACACATCAACCATATGATTGTATTTATTTCCAATAACACCTGTTTATTTAATTAAATATTGCATAAAGGAATAGAAAAAAATTGTATTCCTGTGGGTTTTTTACTCTGAAGCCTAAGCTGAATAATTTGCAGAAACTCAATAAAAGAGAATTACAAAAACAAAAAACCTGCTAAAGATGAGAAAAATCAAAAGAAATTAGGTTGCCCCATATGCGACAGAGTTCCCATTCTATTTCAAATAATCTAAACAAAGATCAGCAAACTTTTTCTTAAAGGTCAGAAGGTAAGTATTTCTAGGCTTTGTGAGTGATATGGTCTCTGTCACAAGCTACCAACTAGGCCACTGTCACAGGAAAGCAGCCACAGATAATATGTAAGTGAGCTGGCGTGGTTGCGTTCCAACGCTATTTGCAAAAATAGCCAAGCCCTGACCTAAGAAAACTGTAGACGATACACTGGAAGGTGGTCGATGACAGCTCCATGGCAATGTCAACCCCACAGACCAATACATAAGGACCAGAGAGCGTGTGTGTGGACACTCCTGCACTCTGGCTGCAATGCCTGCTGGACCCACAGCCCACCTGCAATCCCCACTGTCACCATGTTTTCAGGGCCAGGCTGCACAGGCCAGGATGCTTCCTCTGTAGCAGTCAGTTCCCAACCTGCCACTCAACCTCTGCGGGCAGCACAGGCTGAGGCCCCCCGCTGATTAACAGACCGCAGATACAGCCAAATATAGTTTAAAACACCACGTGATTATAACTATCGAACTTGATAGATGTACCCTAAAAATAGTAAAATAGGTACAACCTTGCTCATGAACACAAATACAAAAGTAGAATTAAAAACAAGTAAACAGGGGCCAGCCGAGTGGCGCGATGGTTAAGAACTGGCTTGGGACGCCAGAGGGCCCTAGTTCGAATCCCACATATGAGGGCCAGTGACGCTGCCCTCTACAGCTAAGATGCTGAACAACAGCTCAACCTGGAACTGGGTTGCCGTGAGTCGCCGGCAATGGCGTAGGCTGCAGCCACTGCTGCAGTGGGTTGCCATGGGCTACCATGTGTGGCCAGCAGCCAGCATGAGCGGCCCTCAAGCCACCGGCGACTGATCTGCCTCACCCAGGAAGAGCGCAATGATGGTGCCAACTTGGGCCAGTGAAGCAACGTCCTCCACAACTAGACTGCAACTTGTCTGTTCCCCTTCCCCCAATTCCCCAGCGCTGTTCCCATCCCCCAATTGCCCAATAAAAATCTTTTAAAAAAAAAACCAGGCAAACAATGTAGCGTCCATCATACTGTAGAAAACACAGACTGAGCAGGGTTTACCACAGCAAGTTAAGGGTGCTGAGTGGTAGGAAACGTAATGCCAACCAGAGACGGTTTAGAACATCGATGATTCCATCTTAACTCTCATTTTTTGGTTAAAAAATAAAATGCCCACATAGGAAGGATGGTAGCTGTTAACTGGCTCTCAGCCCTGAGCCACACAAGGTCCCAGTCCTGGAACCTCTGGACCTATGCCAAAAACACCTTTGCGCACACCCACCTAAGAGGCGGCTGGTGGCCGCCTCAGGGTTCACTCTAGGCCCAAGCCATGGCTCAGGGAAGCAGCCCTGCTCCTCCCAGCTCCCACGGGCAGCATGGGCCTCACATACCGTTCTCAGTCACGGCCAGGGTCTGGGCATCCCCACTCCCGCACGCCACATCAATGACTTTCAGCCCTTTGAGGCCAGCCACCAGCATCGGAACGGCCTCGTCCTCACTGGAACCTTCAAACATAGAGACTGTCATCAGTGCAGTCCCTCCGCAGGCCCCTCCCAGCACACGCCCCACCAGACCGCCTGCTCACCATGGCCCAGGCGGCCGTAGTTGCCCCGGCCCCAGGTGTACAGCTCGCCCTCAGCAGTGATGGCCGCGCTGTAGGTACTCCCACACGCGATGTGCACCACGTGCTTCCCAGCCTGCTTCCCTGAGAAGGCGGAGATCACCTTGGGCTCTTCCAGAGGCCTATGGACAGAAGGGGAGGCGTGTGAATGCCCGAGCACTGCCCACGAGCACACATGCATTCCTGAGAGTGAGTTCTCGCCTTCCTATTCAGGTTTGTTACGCAACAATTAAGGAAATAGAGGACTCCAACCCCGAACACCAGCATGACCTTTGTCAAGTGAGCACCCAGTGCCAAGCCTGGCCCCCAGCAGGAATAGTGAGCAGCATCTGATAAGGGCGCACATGGTCAAGTCTACAGCAGCTCTGCTCACAGTGGGCCAGGACGGACCCCTCTGCCACAGGAAGGGACTGTTGACATGCCCAGTGGCTTGCTAGTAGAACAGCCAGAAACAAAGTGCCACGTCATGACAGAGGAGATGGAGGGGGGAGGAGAGGGTCCAGAGAAGCAGCGGAGGCTATGGTTTTTACCATCTAAACCCTCACAACACTGTCCAATGGGGGTGTATTTCTGCAGGATGCCAGCACACGGAGGCATCACTCTGCATCCTCAGTCTGGGGTTCTCCCCAAAGATGTCTGCCTCCCCCACAGTGCAAGCAGGCCAGCCTCCCTCGACTGCAGCTGCCCACGCCCTGCTCACGGGGACCCTGAGGTGGAGCTGCACCTTCAAGTTCACCCTCGGGCCAAGTTTTCTCTCCCAGACCCCCCACAGCAACACCGTGCAAGAGGGCTCCTGACCTCCACGGCAGCTCCATTCTCGTTCACAGCCTTGCATTCAGAATGACCATTTTGTTGTATTTGTGGTCTCTCACAATAATCTAAAGCTCCCCCAGAATAGGATATTAAGAAATATTGACCTTTGTACCTGAGAGAATGACAGTATGGTTCATTTTGGAAAGGAGGACCTTATCTGATAGAGAACCGCTGAAGGGCCTGGGAAGGAACAGTAGAGTGGGATTTCCTTCAGAAAGTGCTGTGGTTGGCTTATGCAGGGGGAGCAAAAGCTGCAGGTGAGGAAGCTGGGTGAGAAGCGCATGGAGGCTGCCAATGTCACCCTCTGTGCTGTGGGCAGAGCTCCCCAGGCATCCACCAGGGGCTGACACTCTGGGCAGCCCTGTCCATCCTGACCCTGCCTGTGGGAACCTTTGCACCCTATTTTGGCTAGAACAACACAACAGAACAGCATGTCAGTTACGGGAGTGCGCCGTACGTACACGGTGTCCCCGTGGCCCAGTCGTCCGCCGTCCCCGCAGCCCCAAGAGTACACCTCTCCGGTGGCTGCCAAGGCCAGGTAGTGGTGACCATCAGAATGGGCAGCAATTTTGACAATGTTTCTGGAGGCAAGACCCTGGACCAGCTGTGGGGCCTAAAAGGGTTAAACACAGGAAGACAGTTACTAGTGAGCAGTGCAAGTTCAACCAACATAGCCTGACTCTCGTCATCTCTGTATCTCACCCTAATAACCCTGCTCACACTGAAGCAACATGAGCATCTGGCAGTTGCCGACCATGTGTGACTTGGGGGCCGCGTGCATGGCCACCCACAGCTCGAGGAGACGAGCACGTCCCAACTGGCAACCATCCCCACAAGGCGCCATTCTTTCACTGTTACCTCATTGTTACTGCCTGGCCCCCGAAGTCAAATGAGTTTATGCCTGCAAAGTCAGTTTACAAATGGGAATCCTGGATGCAGTGAGTGTCACAGCCAGGAGTCCTTAACCTTGGCAACTAAGAAATTCTGCCTCAAACTCTTGACAACGGTATGATTAAGATAATTAAGCATGACTGATAATACAAGGTGTGATCAAACAATACAGAATGTTTAATTAAATAAATTATTAAATAAAAGACAAATTGCCACTAATTTCCCTCAAAATATTCCCCCTCACTTCGAACACACTTCTCCCACCTTTCTTGCCACTTTCTGAAGCAGTTCCAAAAGTCCTCTTTCGTGAGTGTCTTCAGTTGCGCTGTTGTGGCTTCCTTGACGTCCTGAATCTTTCTGACTTTGGGGAAGAGCCAGAAGTTGCCAGTGCCAGATCCAGTGAATAAGGTGGGTAAGGACACACTGTAATGTTTTCATTTGACAGAAACTGCCATATACCAGAAGTGATGTGTGACACAGAGCACTGTCATGGAGGATGATTTACGGCAAACATTAAAACACACCTTCTCACACCTGATTGACTGCACCAAACAAGTCAAAACTTGTCACACACTGTTCTAAGTTGAACTAAGGTTCAATGCACCACTTCCCATATTGAAGATCCCTGCCTTTCCAAAGAATGGCACTCGGCGGCAACACTCACCATATTTTTTTATTACAATGGAATAGCGCCATGTCACACATCACTTCTGGCATGGCAATTTCTGTCAAATAATAGTAACATTACAGTGTGTCCTCATCCACCTTATTCACTGGATCTGGCACCGTGCAACTTTTGGCTCTTCTCCAAAGTCAAAATAACCATGAACGGTAAACGTTTTGAATCAATTCAGGACATTGAGGCAGCCATGAGAGCACAACTAAAGACACTCACGGAAGAGGACTTCCAGAACGGCTTCAGAAAGTGGCAAGAACGATGGGATAAGTGTGTTTGAAGCGAGAAAGAGTATTTTAAGGGGGACTAATGGCAATGTGTCTTTTACTGCAATAAGTTTTTTTTTGGTTTTTTTTTTTAAAGATTTGTATTGGGTAATTGGGGAAGGGGAACAGACAAGTTGCTCTCCTTCCGTTCCTCAGTCTAGTTGAGGAGGACGTTGCTTCACTGGCCCAAGTTGGCACCATCATTGCGCTCTTCCCAGGCGAGGCAGATCAGTCGCCAGCTTCTGGACGGCCGCTCACGGGGGGGCGGCTGCTGGCAATACACAGTAACCCATGGCAACCCACTGCAGCAGTGGGTGCAGCCTATGCCGTCTGGCGACTCCAGATTGAGCTGTTGTTCAGCATCTTAGCTGTAGAGGGCAGTGTCACTGGCCCTCATATGTGGGATACGAATTGGGGCCCTGTGGCATCCCAAGCCAGCTCTTAACCAACGCGCCACTTGGCCGGCCCAATAAGTTTTTTCTTTAATTTAAACATTCATTGTACCGTTTAATCACACACTGTTGTATACAATATACAGATGCTCAGACACCTTCGACAACCAAACAACCTGAAGAAGGCCCAGGCTGCAGCAGCCTCCCGCCCACCACACCACCTACCAGCGTGTCACTGTTGTAGGCCTGTGTGTACACACGGCCAGTCCTCGACAGGATCAGGAAGCGCTTCTCAGCACAGGCGATCTGCGTGACCCCCAGGCTAGCAAGGCCTTCACACTGGACTGGGCCAATCACGTTGGCATAGTACTTCCACCCTATGAGCCCCCATCCTATGACCTCCTGCAATGAGCCCTATAAGATAACAAAGCAAGTGAATGCTTTCTTTACAGCAGCAAGAAAATGTCTGTTATAGTCAAATAAAGACAAAGCAAGTAAAGAAAGGAGCTGACCCAAAACATCGTAACAAGTGCTAACGTTCCCTGTCATCTCCACTGACAGGGGAGACACAATGACTGAACAGGTTACCTCTCCACAGCGTTTCATTGACAGATCCCATCAGAAAGTAGCATAAGGAGGCCTTAAACATACTGAAAAATATAAGGTGACTGTTCTGTGCCACAGTAGACAGGGACCTGAAAGCCTAGGCACAGGCGGGGAGACAAGTGTCCCTACTGCTGGAGGGGGTGACAGGGACCACGCCATATGCAAGCAGTTTGGTGTGATCAGCTAACGTGTCAACCATGCCGTGTCCTTCACCGCTGGCACGCGCAAAGGCGCACAAATGCACAAGCTGGTCATCGCAGCACTATCTGGGAGCAAACTTCTAGCAGCACAAGTGTCCACCAACAGGAGGCTGTGTGAAAAATCAGGACACACCCGCATATGGAGCACCAAGCTGCTGTAAAGACAATGATGAGAGAGCCCTGTTCACTGATACAGAGTGCTCTGCAGGACACACCACCCAGTGAAAATAGCGTGACACGCCACCACTAACATGTTGTCCCAGAGAGCACTGCAAGGGCACAAGATGGAGAAATGAGAATCAGCAGGAAGGAAGGTGTATGGTAAGGTTGCAAGGAAAGGAACAGACAGTGTGGCCTCGCATTTAATTTTGATTTCTGAACCATGTTCATGTTACTTATCTGGGGAAAAGTGACTGTTAAAAGAAATAAAAACTTTTCATATTAAAAATAAAAAGTTAAGAAACCCAGATTCAAAACCGGGGTGGTCCTGTGTGACCCCGGCAAATGGCAGTTTTCCCCTGGGTGCCATGGGGAAATGCGGTGCTGAGCAGGTGTGACTGTGGAAGGGCCTCGGCGTGTCCTTGGCATGTCGTCACCGCTCTGAGCAGCACCAGCAGCCGGCCCTGCTCAGGGCTCCACGTGCAGACAGGCGCTGGAGCCTCCAAGGAAAGCTGACACACGAGACACCCTGTGGGGATGCACCTCCTGAAACCGGGACCAGGATGGTGGGTCGAATCTATAACGCCTGGGCACTCAGCTGACCACCACACCTGAAGCTGTGCACACGTCAGTTTGGAGCCGGAGTCGCTCCACCCACACAGAGAACGGGCATCCCAGGAGGCAGGGAGCGGGCCGGGATGGCACCACCTGGGGCCCGCAGAGGTCCGCACCGCCATCGACATACCTTGTGGGACGTGGGTGAGCTGCACAGTGGCGGCATGCAGGGGGTAGCCAGGCGGTCCAGGTGGGCCATGACAACCACCGCAGTCTGCCGCAAGTCAATGGCAAGCTCACTGTCTTCAGGAAGAGTGAGGTACCTCAGGAAACTCTCGTTGGGGCTCAGGGGGCCGGAGAGAAGCTGCATAGAAAGTGAACAATCAGGGATAGTGGAAAAGTCAAGTAACACACTGCCTTCAGGATGCTACCTGTTCTGGTGTTCAGTTTTGCATTATCTGTCACTTGCTCCTTATGGCCATCAATGACAAGTGTCACGATGCATTGACACTGCCCCCTGCTACACGCTTACACACTTGCTGCATAACTGCACCCTCCACACAGGCCAGTGACAGCCCAGCCACCCTGCAGGCTCACCGCCCACAGAACTCGGAAGCACAGGGAACAAGCTTCCTCGGAATACAGCACTGGCCCCTCTGGCTGGCTTTGAAAATGGAAACAAACACCACCTATTCCGATCCAAATGCTGCACACTATAGAGAGAGCTAAATTTTATTTGTACATCATTAGTTCTAATTCTGGGACAGGCAGAATGGCCTTGTCACCAAAGACTGCCAAGTGATAGAACAGTTAGGCTGAAACATTATAACGGAGCAGATACATCTCTGCAGAAGAGACCTGCAAACCCAACCTGCACCTCTAAAAAGCAGCAGTCCTGAGGTTCAGATGCAGGCCAGTCAAGCCAGGCTTGGCCACCAGCCTCAGCATCCTAGGATGACTCAGACAACATGCTTCGTGTGGCGCCACACACACAGGGCTGACACAGTCGGCCAGTCTCAATGCGCTGTTCCTAATAGTCATTTAGAAGAGTGCATGTCCGACGTGACTGTGTGCTGCCCACACAGCTGCTGCTTGCGGGCCTGTCCTCTCCACAAATGGCACATGAGGAGCCCCAGAGAACAAAGACCTACCCGTCCCTGTGCAGGGTCAGAACAAGCAGGCAAACCATGCAGCGACTGCACACGTGTCCACATGCGCAGTGAGACTTCATGGGGCAGCCCCTTCTCGAAGCACCCCTCCTTAGCACTGCAGGGGCCCGGCTTCCTGCCTCCACTGGCTGGCTCCCTTATGGACGCGAGCACAGACTCTTTACACCCTCCAAGCCTTCTATCCTCGCTCCTCCGTCACATCCCACGCCTGCTCCACGCCCGCTCTGTGTCCCCCACACCTCTCCCACACCCACCCCACGTCCCTCACCCGCCTGCCCCACATCTGCCCCATGCCTCCCCCACGCCCATCCCGCGCCTGCCGCCCACCCCACAACCCCTACCCACCTGCCCCATGCCTGCCACACGCCTGTCCCACCCCAGCCCACACCCAGCTCTCTGCTGAAATACCCAAACACATCCTCCCCACTCCAGACCACCACCCCATGTACATGCTCTAGTCCTGTTTATATAAATCTAACTCGTTTAGGATAACAAAACAAGAGAGCAACTTAAATGCAAAGCCTCGTGCTGACACTTACGTGAGGGTCAACCTCGGTGTGAGGGGCATCTTTCCCGCAGCTCATGCTCTGAAATCGATGCAGCAGAGGGAGGAGGGGGGCACTGGTGCCCTGGGCAGACCGCTCATTGTCTGCCTCCTGGGCCCCACTGTCCCACAGCTGAAGCAGCAACAGGACGGCAGATAACATTTGGCTGAAAGAGAAAGTGCCTTTACTCTCTAGTCAAAACACATTACGCTTTTCTTGCCACAATCTGTCAAAAATAAAAGCAGACAGCTAAATAAAATCGAAGAAATACTTTTGAAGTCAAATACTGTTATCAAAACTCTTAGTGGTAAAAAATCACTGAATCCACACCAAGATTTTAGCACACGACATCCACCTCCTGTGGATAAGAAATACAGAACCAGTTAAGAAGCTCAAAACAACACTTTCTACAGGGAATTTCTGGGACATTAAACTAATGAAATAAAAATAATCATTTTAAGAAAACTAAGAGAAAAAAAGAGCAGCTCCTAGACCGCTAGAAAGTTGAACACAGAAAAGGAAGTGAAGGAAAGCTAAGTGTGTCCAGGTTTAAAAGAAGACAGTGACCTGGGACACGGTCTTTGATGACAGAACACTGCACATTTGCCACAAAACCACGACACTCCGGCCCAGGGGACGCCTACCACCCGCCCGGCCCGCGGCACCCTCACCTCAGCGTGCCTCTCTGCACGGCCAGCTCTAAGAGGATAGCCAGGGCCAGACGCTGGTCCTGCAGGGGGATGCCTCCCGGCCCTTTGGTCCCCGGCGTCCCATGCACATCCCTGAAATGACAGTAGTGGGGGCAGAAACGAAGCGACGTCAGATCTGAAGGACAGCATACTAAACATGACACTAAGATGTCACCTGAACTATGTTCTCTCTCACATGAAATGTGTTTAATGAGACTTGCTACTAAAATTCAATCAGAGATTTCAAAGTATACAATCAGCTTGTAAAAATATTTTTTTGTCAGGCCAGCCGCGTGGCGTGTTGGTTAAGAGCTGGCTTGGGATGCCAGCTCTGAGCAGCAGGACCCCGGTTCGGATCCCACAATAGGGCCAGTGACGCTGCACCCTCTACAGCTAAGATGGTGAACAACAACTCGAGCTGGAGATGGGCTGCCGTGAGTCGCCAGCAATGGTGTAGGCTGCAGCAGGGCTGTAGTGGGCTGCCGTAAAGCTACCATTAACGGCCGGCAGCCAGCGTGAACGGCCAGCAGCCAGCATGAACTGCCAAGAGCTGCCATGGGCGGCCATCCAATGGCCGGCAACCAATCTGCCTCATCTGGGAAGAGCGCAATGATAATACCAACATGGAACAGTGAAGCGACGTCCTCCACAACAAGACTGAAGAACAAAAAGGACAGCAGCTTGTCTATTCTCCTCCCCCAATTCCCCAATAAAATCTTAAAAAAAAAAAAGATATCTTTTCGTTAAAACTATTCATTCAGGGCCAGCCGAGTGGCTCAGTTGGTTAAGAGTTGGCTTAAGAGTGCGAGCTCTGAGCCACCAGGCTGCTGGTTCAATTCTCACATGGGCCAATGTCGCTGTGCTCAAGCTGAGCTGTCGCTGAGCTGCCAACAGGTGGCAGGATGGCTCAGCTGGTGTAACAACAAGATTGCCTGTTCAATGGTGAGCTATGCCCACCCGCAACTAAGACTGAACTCGGCACCTTGAGCTGAGCTGACGCCCGGATGGCTCTGTGGATAGAGCGTGCGCTCTTAACAAGGCTGCTGGTTCGACTCCCGCACGGGATGGTGGCTACGCCTACCCGCAACTAAGATTGAACACAGCACCTTGAGCTTAGAGGCCATGAGCTGCCAACGGGAAGCCAGATGGCGACTGGCGCCCTCCACAACGAGGACTGAAGAACAACAACGTGGCTGGTCCCCTTCCCCAATTCCCCAACACTGTTCCCCTCCCCCAGTTCCCCAATTAAAAAAAAAAACCTAAAAAAAAAACTATTCAGACACTAAGATTACATTAGAAGACATATTCCAAGTTTCTGTACCATAACATCATTTAGATCATTATTCAGTTCACGAGTAGGAAATGTGTACATGTTTCCAGCCTCAGTGGCACAGGAGGTTGTTAGAGGATCGACATTCCTGTCGAACCAGACAAGGGTCGATTCTACAACCACCAAGAATCTGCAGGCAGAATGTCCATGATCATTTTTACATCTGATCAAAGAAAGAATTTTAACTTTTCTTTGTTCCCCAATAATAAATAACAAGCCTTCTCAGCCCAAGATGAAGAAGGGAGGGTCTTCCAAGATCACCGTTACCTTTGAATTTTTGCGATTAATTCCCAGCCTACTTTCAGGGACACACTAAACCCAGTGGCGCTGTTTTCGCCAGGAGCCCAGGGAGCCAAATTCACGGCCCGTTGGTACTGAGACCACAGGTGTCCCTGCTTGCTGGAAGGGACACGGCAGTGACCTCTGGTTACAGGAATGAGAAGAGACTCACTTTTCCTTTAAGTGTGTCTGTGCTGCTGAGTTTTGTATTAAATGTATGCGTGTTCTTTAAACTTAAAAACCATTAGCAAAAATATATAGCACTCAAGCCCAGAATTCATGGTCTTCCTTACAATAATTCACATTCAAATTTTTGATATTACAAAGACTGGATGCGGGTTTAAACATTTTCATCTTGAGTAGCTATTCAGTCCTACGCTGTCTATTAAGCCAACAGCCATCGGTCCAATGGTGGCATCTATATTCTCACTGATAGGCACACAACAGGTGCTCAAACCCTTTATGAATGACTGATCCCCACAACAAAATATCTGAGAAGATTAATTAGAAATGCATCTTTCACTTTCTGCCCCACTCGCTATGACAGTTTCCTGGGTCCAATCAGAGCACCAGAAGTTGAACCTTTGAAAAGCTAAGACGAGCTCTGGAATCAGAGAGTGGTGATACAAACACACACCTGTACCAACCACTGAAGCTCTCGGCTCTAGAGAAGGTCAGTGGGAGCCGGGGCCCATGGAGCCAGCTGTGGTGAGATGTGGGAACGGACTCACCCAGTGACAACGGCCCTGAGGAACCTGGCGGCTCTCTCCACCACCTCCAGCCACACCGCGGACACCGCGCCGTCATCGAAGAGCGAGGCCTCGGGCAGAGCTCGCAGCGCGTCCAGGGACTCCTGCAGCAGCTCGCTGCACAGGTCCGCGTCCTCCCCTGGGCACACATGTATGTCATTGAGGGCCACCCACTCGCGGGCAACACCGTCCCCTCTCTTGGGTGGGTCGCTGCCCCGCACACAGCCCCTCTTCCCTCTCAGTGAGACACTCGAGAACTCAAGGGACAGAAACTGAATACAGTGGCCCCAGAACCAATTCTGTCTTTGGTGACTCTACATGAGCACGTCTGACCTCCCATTTCCCTAGATGATAAATCTATACTGACGCCCTGCAGTGGGCTTTACTTATTTTTCTTCGGAAAGAAGCACAAACCTGAGAAGTCAAACAGACTCGGAAGTCTGTCATTTATAAACAAGGGAAGTAAGGCACAGGCGGCACGTGAAACCGGCCCAGGGGCTGGTGGGCACATGGCAGCTGCCAGGCCCACGTACCTTACGGCCGGACCCACATCCCTGACCGCTGGGCCCACATCTCTGACGGCCGGGCCCATGTCCCTGATGGCTAGGCCCACTTCCCTGATTGCCGGGCTCACATACCTGACCGCCAGGCCCGGCGCAGGAATGCAAAGGCAAAAGACAGGGCTGCCCGGGATCCAACTCTCGCAAGGCCTTCCACCCCTTTGCCAGAGGGACGGGAACTGGGGATGACACACATGGGGTAACAACCGGTCAGTCACGAGATGCACAAATGCTAAAATCAAACCAATCATACGAAGGATTTGCACCAAAATGTGGTCGATGGGTTTCTTTAGATGGCAGAATCACAAGTGACTTTTAGTTTCATTTTTTAAAAACTTACCAAACATCCTTTATGAAAGAAAAGTTTTCTCTTTTAGGAAGAAAAAAAGGTATTACAAAGAATTTTAAATGACGGACAAAAACGCTCACAAGATAATCTCAGGGCACTGAGGTTATTGGTGGGGGAGGATGGGAAACAGGTAAACAAAGAAATGCGGGGATGAAACCTCAGGTGGTAAAGAAGGCAGTGAGGGGTGAGGGGGACATGGGGCACTCTGCCTGAGACCTCGCACCCAGGTCTGTGGGCTCTGAGCCTGTGGCTGGACTGTCTGTTCTGGACCTTTCCCTCCTCAGGCCGATGTGGCTGCTGGGTTTGAAGCCCACATATTGGTCCTATTCTCTTTCACCCTCACCATGCTGAGGTTACCCTCTCCTGAACTCAGTACTTTTCACTGTCATGTCTCCTGTGAAGCTTGTTACTACTTATGTATGGTAATTTAACAAGACATGGTTTCATTTTGCATATTATGAAGTTATAGTTTTCCATGAAAATCATCCTAAACAAAAAACAAAAACTAGAACACGAACATACATGTACCATATAAACTCAGTCATGAATAGCAAGTAATTTTTTTTTCAATTTTGAACTGTTGAATATTTCCACTATAACTATTCTCCAAATTTACTATAATTTGTTTTGTAATCAGGGAGAAATGCTATTAAAAATGGGGAATGAGGGCCGGCCGAGTGGCGCGTTGGTTAAGAGTTGGCTTGGGAGCGCCAGCTCTGAGCAGCAGGACCCTGGTTCGGATCCCACATATAGGCTAGTGACACTGCGCCCTCTACAGCTAAGATGGTGAACAACAGCTCGACCTGGAGCTCGGCTGCTGTGAGTCGCCAGCAACGGTGTAGGCTGCAGCGCCTGCTGCAGTGGGCTGCCATGAGTTACCGTGAGTGGCTGGCAGCCGGCTGAGCTGCCGTGAGCCACCGTGAGCAGCCGTCCAATGGCCGGCGACCAACTGCCTCACCCGGGAAGAGCACAAGGATAATATCAACATGGGCCAGTGAAGCAACGCCCTCTGCAACTAGACTGAAGAACAAAAGGACAGCAACTTGTCTGTTCCCCTCCCCCGATTCCCCAATAAAAATCTTTAAAAAAAAAAAGGGTAATGATATGGAATGATCTCCCCAAGATACAATGTCATGTTAAAGTAGCAGTGAAGGACGTGAGGACACCACAAAGGCAGCTAGTAGGCACATATCTGTGACTCCTGAATAGTGCACAGGGGGTCCATGAGGAGACACAAGACATTATAGTTAGTGACTGCCCCAAAGAGGGCCTGGGTGCCTGGGAGACAGATGTAAGGAGTCTGAAACTTTGTGCCTGAATGAGAAGTGAACATTGTAAGATACAAATGTATAACAAGATACCGGTCTTTAGGACAGAAACACAGGCTGAGTGTTTTAGAGGATGTGGAAGGAGCACTCTGAGCAAGCTACTGAAGAGAAGCCCGAAGCTGGGCCCCCTAAGTCAATCTGACCTTGACCCTGGACAGAGAGCCCAACAGTCCTGAATCTGTACAGTGTGAGAACTGCTATATCTTCAACAAGTGGCTCAGTAGCTAGTTTCACAAAAAAGTAAGCCCACCACTATCCAGTAAGTTAAGAAATGAGGAAATCTGCACAAATTTAGGAGCTATCACTACACATCTACTAGAATGGCTAAAGTGAAAAAGTGACAACACCAAAGGCTGACAAGGATGTGGAGAAACGGAATCCCTCACATATGACTGGTGTGGTACAACTATTGTGGAAAAGAACGGCAGTGTCTTACAGGCCCAAACGTTAAGACCTAGCACTTACCTTCCACGGAATTTATTCCAGAGAAATGAAACAGGTTCACACAGAAACCTGTCCACAAGGATTCACAGCAACTTTATTCATAATACTCAAAACCTGTGAATGGTCATCTCAAGGTGCCCTCCCGCAGGTGAACACATGTCCACACCATGGCCCCCATTCGGCAATGCCGACACATGCAAGCACTTGGTGGGGGTCTCCAGGGAACACTGCTGGGTGAAAAAGCCCACCCTACAGACTACATGGCAGACCTGGGGACCACATCAGTGGTGGCCAGTGGTTACAGCAGGGGGAGGGCAAAGGAGGTGAGCGCGGCTAGAAAAGGGTATTTTCCTGTACCCTGACTGTGGCAGTGGTGACAGAAATCTATACTTGTGATAAAATCGCATGGAAATACACACACACAGCTGAGAACGTGCACACTGAGGGGATCTGAGCAGACCGGTAACTGAATCAAAGCCTCTGTCCTATTTGTGACCCTGCAAGTGGCCTCCTGGAGGGACTGGGGGAAGGTATAAGGACTCTCTGCACCGCTTCTTACAACTGCATACAAATCCACAAGTATCTCCAAATACATGTTTTTAATTTTAGGAATTTCCTCTATTTAATGAAAGGTAGATTTCAATTAATCCATCAACCCTTTTGTCACCTTAGCGGAAAGGGCACAGAAAGATGAGCGGGGCTGCCAGCCACTCCTGCATCTTAGGGAATTCAGTCTGACTCAGCAAACACACACACAGTGCCTGAGAAGCCTAAACTCTACCGCCCGGTGACCACCACACTCAAGGAGGAAAGGGCTGTCCTGTCGCCACACGGGTGACACTTGGTTCAATTTTTCTCAGAACTACTACTCAGACACATGACATGTAATGTGACTTCAATGAGATTTCAACAGAAAAAAACAAGGAACTATGCTACACTTAGCACGTCTTGTCTCTGAGATACACGGTAACAAGGCTTTTCTTCCCCCGCTCCTTTCTGCCTCTATACTTGCCATGTGCTCTACAGGGAATAAAAGGGAATATTACAATCAAATAAAACCAACTTTCTAACTACAAAAATATGAATTTCATCTGGACATCTTTTAGTCTAGCCTTCTGAAAACATAAGTCAAGTAGGCAGCTACACTTTGGAAAAACAGAATTTTACACAGCCTTAATTGAAGCACTGTAATGGCTGTTAGTTAATGCCTCAGAGAAAATCAGCTGATGTAAAACACTATGTTAAAAATCATATGCCTGGGCCGGCTGACTGGCTCAGTTGCTTAAGAGTTGGCTTAAGAGCACAAGCTCTGATCAATAGGGCCGCTGGTTTGATTCCCACATGGGCCAGTGACGCTGCGCCCAAGCTGCGTTGTCGCTGAGCTGCCAACAGGTGGCAGGATGGCTCAGCTGGTGTAACAACAAGATTGCCTGTTCAATGGTGGGCTATGCCCACCCGCAACTAAGACTGAACTCGGCACCTTGAGCTGAGCTGACGCCCGGATGGCTCTGTGGATACAGCGTGCGCTCTTAACAACAAGGCTGCTGGTTCGACTCCTGCACGGGATGGTGGCTACACTCACCCGCAACTAAGATTGAACACAGCACCTTGAGCTTAAAGGCCACAAGCTGCCGACGGGAACCCAGATGGCGACTGGCACCCTCCACAACTAAGACTGAAGAACAACAACTTGGCGTGTCCCCTTCCCCAATTCCCCAATAAAATCTTCAAAAAAAAAAGGGCCGGCCGTGTGGCGCAGTGGTTAAGAGCTGGCTTAGGACGCCAGAGGGCCCCAGTTCGGATCCCACATATGAGGGCCAGTGACACTGCCCTTTACAGCTAACATGCTGAACAACAGCTCAACCTGGAGCTGGGCTGCTGTGAGTAGCCGGCGACGGCGTAGGCTGCAGCCACTGCTGCAGTGGGTTGCCATGGGCTACCGTGTGTAACCTGCAGCCAGCGTGAGCGGCCGTCCAGAAGCCGGCGACTAATCTGCCTCGCCCGGGAAGAACGCAATGATGGTGCCAACTTGGGCCAGTGAAGCAACGTCCTCCACAACTAGACTGAAGAACAAAAGGACAGCAACTTGTCTTGTCTGTTCCCCTTCCCCCAATTTCCCAGCGCTGTTCCCATCCCCCTACTCCCCAATAAAAATCTTTAAAAAAAAAAAAAATCATATGCCTGAAATCGTGTCTTGTAATAAAAGAGGAAGAAAATCATATTACAAAGAAAACATCTAAACTAGTTAGGCACAATGATTAGATCCCATTTCCAAATCTAGACATGCTGGTCTAAACCTTTGACAGACTTCTACACTGACAGAAAAGGGTCTTTAAAATGACAGCAGAGCCTGGCTACTGTGTGAGCAAACTGGCAAAGCCATTCTCCACATTATAGAAAACGTTCAAAAAGGGAAAGCAAGAATAAAGTTTCATAAAGATGCAAAAGGAACTACTGGGTTGTCGGAAAAGTCATGACGTATTTTTTCTATGTTTTTCGTTGCAAAAATGCATCATGACTTTTCTGACAATATATTGAACGCCTCGATTAAACTTTCCTGAATAAAACAGCCTGAATTTTACATTTAGCTGGTATCAGCATGCTTTCTTCATTCTCCTGCTACCTTTTTTTGTCCACAGGGGGCAAAGAAACGCTGCTACTTTTCCATTTCACTTTGACGTTCTCCTGGAAAACAGTTCTATTCAAGGCGATGAAGTAGCGCTCCAAGATGGCCAGCCTCTGCTTGAGTCTCAGGGCGGAGAGGGTGCTGGCTGCTGACTGCATGGCCAGAGTGTGCTGCTCTTTCACCAACACAGACAGACATTCCTTCAGCTCACGCACATCTAGAAAACACAGTAAGAAAACATCCCACCCCTCAACACTTTGGGCACTTTGTTATACTGTGAATAAAATGGATAATAATAGGCAACACTTGAGTGCTGAATTATATGTGCCAAAACAGTTTTAAGCACTTTACACGTATTAGATAACCGTCACAACCACCATCAAGAGGTCCTACTACCAGGTGATTTCATGGAGGGGGAAACCAAGGCACAGCCAACTCGTACCCAAGGTCACCCAGATGACGATGACACGTGGGACAGGCCACACTCTTAGCCATCATGGTATACTGCCTCTATGTAACTGTTGTGTAAGTTTTTAACACAAAATGATAAAGTCAATACTTACCAGCAGCACATTTCCTAGACAGAGAAAAACTCTATCCATTAATCTCATTGTTATGAAAACAAATTCTATTTTTTTGTGTTGAAGAAATAGGTTTTTTTGTGTTAAAGAAAACCTTTGTATTTTATATATTCTTCTTATAATTGAATTTTATACTGCGTGCATACGTTTCCTATTAAAAAAACTAAGTTACAATATGCAGGTAAGGACATAGTTAATGGCAAGGACATAGTTAATGGCAGACAAAACAGACTTCAAGATGAAAACTATTATGAGACAAACGGACAAAATTTCCATGATTCCACCGCTTATATGAGGTAAACAGACTAGTCAAAATCCTAACGGCAGAAAGTCGAATGGTGGATTCCAGGCACTGGGGAAGCTGAGTTTCCCAAGCACTGTTTAAGTTTGGGACGATGAAGAGGTTCTAGAAATGGACAGTGGTGATGGCTGCACAACAGTGTGAATGTAATGTAACTGAACTGTCACTTCAAAATGGTTGAAGTGCTAAATTGTATGTTATGTATAGTTTACCACAGTATTAAAAAAATTTAAGTTAAATTTTTTAAAACTCCATGTCTACCGAAGAAGCCCATCTATGGTATCCAGAAAGTGAGCGCCAGGCAGGTCTTGCTTTCTAAAGTACGAGAACCTCAGCAGGTCACAATACCTGGCTGCTTGCCCCACACCCAGCTCTCTAGAATCGCTTTGGCCCTGTACGCAGGTGCAGGAGCTTCTTCATCATCCTTTTTCTCCTTGTCATTCACATCTTCTTTCTTTGTTCCACTCTGAGTATCAACACCATCATCTGGAAAATGTTTTAAAAATTTTGTAATCTATAAATTGCTTTCCAAAATGTAGCTCCCACTTGTCAGTCTCTTTCAAACGTCCCTCCCAGAAATCAAAAGTTTAAGTTACAACACTCACCATTAGCTCAATGTTTGATTTTCAAAAATTTCATGAATCATCACCGTAATGGGTACAGTGTAATTTATAAAGTAATGAATTGCCCAGTGACCCTTTTAATAAAGAAATCAATGTAGCACTCAAATTCTTCCTTGAAGCATGTCTTCAAAATAGTCCATCAATTTCCCACTACATTTCACCACTAACAAACTCCATCTTTGGTGTTCACCTGCTTGAATTTCACATTCATGCTTCTACCCAGTGACTCCCAGCTGCTGTGTGCCCATGGGAAGGGAAGATGTGGGATGGAAGTATGATTCAAAAATCATCTTAATTAACTCTATGCACTGCTCTACTTCATCACGAACTGAGAACGACTACGACACCACCGTTGACTGACAGAGTGTAATTCAGGAGCGTTGGGACACCCACACTCAGGAAGGCTGGCCTGAGATCAGGAAGCCTTAGAGAAGCCCTTCATTTCTGCAGGAGCTTGCTGCTGGCATCAGAGCTTCCCCCGTGCTCCAGGCCCATGGTGTGGGAAGACGAGCATACCAAAGAGAACTGACATTCCCCAGACTGAACTCATCCATGCAAATCTTATTTAACAACCTATTGCAGGTCCCAGAATCATGGAAGACGGCAGACATGAATCCACACCTCACAGCCCACGCTGTGCTCTAACCCCCAGGTGGACAGCCATGAAGCCCAGCCTGCAAAGCACTTGACTCCTTTCCATCTGATGCTATTGCAAATGGGAATCACTTAACCAGAGCCTTCAGTCTTTTCATCTGCTTCCTTCCAAAGCTAGAGGCCAGAAATCGGGTCTCCAACAAACAAGCCCCATGGCAGCCTCACTGGGATGTGTCTGACTGGAGAGACTCCAGCAGAAGCTGACATCACCCTTCCAGCAGACAGCAGGCCAACTCCCAGGGCTGGGTTAGGTTTTCCAAAAGGGACTCAAAATCCAGAGCAATAAGAATTAATTATGGAGGACAGGTGGATTTATGAAGGTGATCTAACTGTTCATTTGTGGTGGGACACGTTGGTTTTTGAATGTTCTACTTTCTAAGCAGCGCACACAGCAGCCCTAACCCCCAAAGTATCGGGCTGGGCCTGCACAAGCAACACAGCACAATAGAACCGTCAGCAGGCCTTGGAAACGTGTTACTAATTCAAGTCCCCAGGCCCCATGCCAACACTACAGAATCAGACTCTGGGGGTAGGGCTGGCCATGAAGCAGGGGTCTGACCAAGCGACACCAGGAATCAGGGTTTAATTCTAAAAGTCACTAATTATGGTTACCCACAGTAAGACATATTTCAAAGCTTAAAAAAAGAAATAATAACTGCAGTGCCTATAAGCCACAGATGACACATCAGAGGACACCATAGTGAGGTGGCTTAAGGCCTTCAGCACATAGGGAACAATGAACTCCAGGTGGCCTGGGATACTGGCTGTCATTTAGACAATCATCAAAATGAAAACCAAACTTCAGCATTAGGCTCAGACGCTCCTGTTCCTGTAGCACATTCCAAAATGTCTATAAAATGCAATTTATAAAGGTCTTGATAAAATGAAAAGTACCAGGTAAAGGACCTTACCTTTTCTAGGTAGAAGATCTCCATTCTGGGTTAATTCTGTCCCAATATATACAATTTCACCATCTTTAACCATTTCATTCCACAGACCACAGAGCCCATCTCTTGTGAATGCAAGCTGACAATGATAAAGAAGATAAACTTACAAAGTGATCATACTCACAAAGCAACTCCTAAAGAATGATATGAAAAAAAAAATTTCTCATTTCCTCTCATTTACTCAATGACTCAACATTTAATGAAAATCATTCCAAGAAATACAGTTAAGTAAAAAAGGCACAATAGTGTATATACTATTACAACATTTTCATAAGGTCTAAGAAAAAAGACACATGGGCTGGCCGAGTGGCGCACTAGGACGCCATCTTGGGAGTGGCTTGGGATGCCAACTCTGAGCAGCAGGGTCCCGTTTCGATTCCCACATGAGGACCAGTGATGCTGCGCCCTCTACAGCTAAGATGGTGAACAACAGCTCAACCTGAAGCTGGGCTGCCATGAGCTGCCATGAGCGGCCGTCCAAAGGCCGGCAACTGATCTGCCTCAGCCGGGAACAGCGCAATGATAATACCAACATGGGCCAGTGAAGCGACGTCCTCCACAACTAGGCTGAAGAACAAAAGGACAGCAACTTGTCTGTTCCCCTTCCCCAATTCCCCAATGCTGTTCCCTACCCCAATTCCACCAATAAAATCTTTAAAAAAAAAAAAAAAGACACACAATGCATGTACTGTGCAAAGAATAAACCAGACACAAACAACAATGACTATCTCTGGGGAGATGGGAAGGCCCAAGATGGAAGGAAAGCAGTAGAGAAGAATGAAAGCAATATTTTAAGCATATCTTATATATTTTCACTTCTAAAACATAAATGATTTCCATCTTCAGAAGTTAAAGTTAAATCCTAAAAAAGCAAAACCTAGAACTGGTAACAAGCAAATCAACCTATGTTTATCAGAAAGAAAAGTGTTTCAAAGGCCTTTTGAACTACATATCTTTAGTTGGATATACTCCAAGAAAAAAAATCTTAATTTTACGCATTGGTCTTTCTGATAATAGCAATATTGACATGAAAATTTTAATGCTATTTCTTGTTATACTATACACATATGATAAAGCAATGTTAATAAAACGTATGTTTATGATAAAGTATGTTGGTGTCACTAGAAACTAAGGTTTTTTAGTGTAAATGGTAAAACCAAGGACTTTTTAAGAACAATTTGAATTGAAAATCTCAGTATGAGCTTACATTGAACATGTCTGCTGCTCCGTCTTTGCAAAGGAAACAAAACTGGAGGCAGTCTAACAGCAGTGAGGACACCCAGCACCCAGATGCTCGTTTCTAAGTTCCACCTCCCACTAAACGAAACCTGGGCTCTTGGAAATCAGGCTAACTCGGGGGCCGGAGCAGACAAAATGAGCCTGTAATGGCTTATGTTTGCACCAAGAAAGTTGCTCAAAACCTGATGGGGACTCTATTGGCCAAATTTAGAACAATTTTGAGCATCAAAATACATAACTAGAGTCGACTGCAAAAGTAAATAAAACCACCTAAGTCCATAGTGATAGTCAAAGAAAAACAAAAACGCTCTCACCTGTCAGTATCTGGGAATCAGAAAAGACCTCAGGGCAGGCAGCCCGAGGGGGGAGGCACACAGTGGTCACCCAGAGAAGGCATCCATTCTGAAAACTGCAGGCACAACAAAGCCCTCTCATCAGACACACAGACACTGAAACAGACACGTCTGTCTACCCATCTTTAATGGAAGGCCAGGGCCTTTTGTTCAGCAGACGTACCAAGTAGCTCCTTACCGTCATTACAGCATGTACCACCGTCATGAACTATCTACTACCTCGTCTCAGTAGTGTCTTTAAACAGAGCATGAGCTGCATACAGGGCACTCTGAGCAATCTCAGCCTGGTATTTTCTAAGCTCCCAGGGCTGCTACCAGTCCCTCACCATTCTCTTACCTACCAAGTAGTTTCCTAGCATCTCACTCCTCGCCCTGCTGCACACATACCGCAAGCCCCACGTGCGGGCGGGGCCTGTGAATGGATGTGCCATCACCCTGGACTAGGTTTTATTTCCACGTGTGGCAAAGGGGAAGGAATTTCTCCTGCATAAGTGAGGTCCCACATCAGCTCAGTTCTAAATAAGCCAAAGGAGGCTTATTCTGCAGGCCCTACTTTATCAGGTGAAAGCCCTCGGAGGACAAGGCCACAGGAAGACACGCTCCATAGCCGTGAAGGGCGACTGCCATGAGCTGCCTGTGGAGAGGGGCGGCCTCCAGGAGCCCGTGACTCAGTCCCACAACCGCAACCAACTGAACTCTGCCAACAAGGACCCCAGTGAGACCCCGGCTGAGAGCGCAGCACAGCCAACCCCTTGCTGCACCCCGTGAGACCCGAAGAAGATGACACAGCTCAGCCACTGCCAGGCTCCTGAACACAGAAACTGGGAGACAGTAAACAGAAGTTGTTTTAAGTTGCTGAATTGGTGGCCAGTGACTTCTTATGTAGCAGGAGAAAGCCAATTCAGCATCCAACTGAGTTTCACAGAAGCCACCTCTTTCAGCACTCATACCTGATCTGTTCACATCACTAACGAGGTAGCTCCATAAACACACTCGGGACCAAAACATATGACTCCTGGCAAAAGTATCAATTAACAAGTGGAAAAGTAAAGTCCTCCCTGAAAAGTGAGCCACAGACATTCAGGACCCCTGAGGTTTCAACGAGGAGATGGAAAGGCTTGGCTTATCTGGGTAAGAAGAGGGCAGCTAAGACCTCCTGCTGGGGTTCAGTCCAGTTCCCACACTGCCACACAGACTGGGGGGGCAAACAGTGGCCAGACAGCAGCCCGCATGCACTGCGCTCCGGGGAATAAACGATCACGTCTTAAGTCAAAGCTCAGTCTCCACACAACGGATGGGGACAAAAGAGGAAACTAGAAACAGAAAATAAGTTAGGAGGCCTTTGCCAAGAGCCCCCCAAAATCAGAGAACCTAAGACAAGACAGGAAAGTAGAGTATTTAAGACGTTTCAGATCAAATGGGACAGATGTGAAAAGTGAAAAAGAGGTACAAACAGAACTGGAATGAGAGAATTAGCTCAGTTTTAACCACTGAGATTTGCACTAACTACTGAATATAAACATGGAGAGAGAGACAGACACAGACAGACACACACACACACACACACACACACACACTACAAACACAAATCCAGGTCTTAGCAGAGTGTTCAGGGCTGGAGATTCAAATCTGGGCCTGGAAGAGATGCCGACGCCCAAGGAAAGAGGGTGGATCAGCGCCCTCAGCCCTGACTGCATACTGGGATGACCCCAGGGTGGCTGGGGTCCAGGCACCATGTTTTGAGGTACAGCCCAGGTTGAGAAACATTGGTGTTTAGAGTTATAAAAAACAAAGAAAAAGCCAAAAAATGAAAATTTGAATAGGCCAAGAAAGAAGTCCAGCTTATGTGGAAACATGAACTGATTTATCACTTGGGTAGTGTCAGGAGAAAGGAGGGTGGGGCAGAAGCTGTGTGGAAGGTGGGGACGGCCACCTGAGGAGCTGGAGAAGCCTTCTAGAACTGAGGACCCGAAAGATGGAAATGAGCCATGGACTCAAGTAACCACCAATTCAAGTACAAGGTTCAGGTATTGTGAAGAATTCAAGGAAGGAGGAACGTTACTAAGGCAACGAAGCAAGCTTCCCTGGACAGGGCTTGAGAGAGCTGGGCTGTGGGAGCTGCGATGAGGCCCTCGGAGAAGGTTCCAGCACACTGCAAGGGAAGCACAGTGTCCTGAGGAGAAAGAAGCCGGGAAGACTGGAGTATAAGCATGGTACTGTAAGAACAGCCTGCACAGGAAATGAATAGACATCACCTCCACTTCTCAAGTTGAGAGTA